ATGTCTTTATATCTTATATTCTAGATTTCCTTGATTTTTATCTCCAATACTTTCAATGAATTTTCTTATTTAAGTAGTCATGCTTTTAGTGTTTCAGAACTCTATTTCATTCTTAGGTTGCTCTTTTTCTCAGAGTACTTTATATCTCACAGATCTGATATATTCTGAAACTGGGGTACATAAAGTGGAGTGCTTAAAAAAAATGTTCTTTTTTAAATTTCCTGAATTTTAAGTGCTTCTTTAGGAGTTAGTTACTGTATTTGTTTTTCTGTGTCTTTCTCTTTCACCGTGGTGAGTTTCCTGATTTGCCTGTTGATTCTTCATTGTAGGTTCCTATATACAAAGAGCTGGTCATCGTTGTGGTTTTCCCTTGATTTTAATAAGGAGGACTTCTTCCAGTTCTCTCTCTTGTGTGGAAACTCAGAATAATTAGCAAGGTTGAACAGGGAAGGGCCAGCGATGCCAGATATCAGGCTTCACTTTCTGACGGCAAGGCAAGTAACTGGTTTTCTGGACGGTGGCCCTGAATGCCTGAATAACAGTGGCTTTGCTCTGAGTTAACATGGAAGTCTTCATGTCTTCTCTACAATTTGTACAATTAATTTGAAGGAGACTTTGGGGTCTTTTGGTTTTTCTTTTTCTCTGCTGGTAGATGTGTCTTTGTCTACTCTCTGTGTGCATGGATGAGAGAAGGAAATGTGTGTGGTGTTGATTTAGTTGTACCATATTTAGGTTATCTCCATTTTCAGCCCTTATTCTCACTTCTGCCCTTTGCCAGGCTTCCAACCAACTCTTCTGTAGCTTCTTCACTATATTTTGTTAGGCAATGGCTTTGGGTGTTATTACTAGTCAAAGCACTACTATTAGCTTTGTGATCCAGAAAACTGTTGACATTTCATTTACTTTTCTCCCCTCTGCTACCTACTCCTAACTTAAGCACATACATACAAACACATATCTTTATTCTTTGGGTTTTCTACTTCTACATTTTTATTTCAGGAATGTCTAGGAGAGACTAGCTGGCAGATTATATGCCAAGTCAATCATCTTGAACAGAAACCCAAGAATAACTCTATATTTTATAAGCACTTTTGCCATTTGGGTAAAACATGTTACAGAATCCTCCCTAGTTTGGTCACAGGACCCCCTCTACAACATTTTTTTTTAAAAATATTTATTTATTTATTTTTGCCTGTGTTTGGTCTTCGATGCTGTGGGCGCTTTTCTCTAGTTGCAGAGGGTGGGCTTCTCATTGCAGTGGCTTTTCTTGTTGAGGAGCAGGAGTTCTAGGGCACGCAGGCTTCAATAGTAGTGGCACTTGAGCTCAGCAGTTGCGGTTCCCAGGCTCTAGAGCACAGGCTGAATAGGTGTGGCTCACAGGCTTAGTTGCTCTGAGTGATGTGGGCTCTTCCCAGATTAGAGATCGAACCCATGTCTCCTGCACTGGCAGGGGGACTGTTAACCACTGAACCACCAGGGAAGCCCTCTACAACAGTCTTATTCAAAGGGAAACAGAATTACTACCAGGGTAACAGGAGGAGCTCACATTTCTTTAGTTCTTTGGAACGCTAACGAACTCATTTTATTAAGTAAGAAAGAGGACAAAAATGGGGTTTATGTAGGCAACCAATAGTCTGCCAAGGTAGTGATCCATTTTTCCTTCCCAACATAGCTCATTAAAAGTTTAGGGAGGCTTATTTTAGGATTGAGTCTTTTATTAATCAGTATTGCCCAGCAGTTAGGTGTCAGCTCCAGGTAGGGAGCTGCACTGGGGTCCAATGCAGATGGAATTTTAAGATCCAATGTTACAAAGTGGAGTAAGGAAGACAGCTGGACACTGGATTGAGAATAGGTAAAACCAAAAAAGGCATATAAGGTAAGGCTGTGGGACACTGGTGAGCTGAACAGACTTACTGGTCTTACATATTGAGATACTAAGAAATTGACGGGCTGAAAATGAGTCTGCAGCTTATTAACCCATCCCGACAACCCAGGAGGTGACAAGGCTGAGAATGAAAGGCTAACATGCTAATATGATGGAACATAGATAGGGGAGGGTCAAAAACATGGATGACTTTGTTGAGCCACTGAAAATATGTTGGAAACATCCCACCCTGAGATTTTACTTTTGAGACACTTTTGGAACAATTAGGGTAATTTTGGTCAAATGACCTAATTACATACATCACATATATAATTTTACATATATAGGTTCATTGTATTGTTGCTGTTTAGTCGCTAAGTTGTGTCTGACTCTTTTGCAACCCCATGGACTGGGGCCTGCCAGGCTCCTCTGTCCATGGGATTCTCCGGGAAAGAACACTGGACTGGGTTGCCATTTACTTCTCCAGGGGATTTTCCCTGACCCAGGGATCAAACCTGTGTCTCCTGCACTGGCAGGTGGATTACCTACTGCTAGCTACCAGGGAAGACCCCATATGGGTTCATATTGTACATATATTGTTTCGAAAACTATTTACTCTGCTGTACATCTTAATATGTTTCCATATCAAACAATACAGATTCCACTTTATTTATAGATGTGCCATAATTTATTTAAATCAACCCTCTAGTGAACATTTTTTGGTATAATACATTTTTAAGTACAATGAGTTTTAATTGGTTGCCCAACCACCCATTAATATACTCAATATTGCCAAGATATTCTTACAGTCCCATTTTGAAACTGCCAAATCCTGATTGCCAATAGAACTAAATCCCTTAAATTCAAAATTGAGTCTCTCTTTATAGACAGCTTTCTAGCTAGTTCTGACTTTACTCGTCACTAATTTGTAATAAGAACCTTCTATCATGGACAAACATTTTACTCACCAAAGAATGCATCTGCATTCTTGTTTCCTTACCTTTGCTCAAGGCATATTTTATGGACAGTGTTCCTTTTCTTCATCAGGAATCTTTGTCATCAGACTATCTTTCCGATAATGTTTCAGAAAATTCCCCCAGGGACTATTAAGAATACAAAGACAGTTCTTAAAGTTCAATGAAGTATATTCCCTTCTAGATCAGGACTATCTAATAGAATAAGATGCAAGTAAAAGATGCAAGTGACTCATGTAATTTAAAATTTTTCTAGTAAGCCGATTAAAAAGTAAAACTAAACAAGTGAAATTTAACTCAATTACATACCAAATATTATTTCAACACATCATTAATGAAAGAATTAAGCTATTTTACATTTTTTATTTGTACTAAGTCTTTAAAATCTGGTGTGTATTTCACACTTACTGCATTTCTGAAATTGGACTAGCTACAAGTATGAAAGTGAAAGTCGCTCAGTCCGGTCCCACTTTTTGCTACCCCATGCAGTCCATGGAATTCTCCAGGTCAGAATGCTGGAGTGGGAAGCCGTTCCTTTCTCCAGGGGATCTTCCCAACCCAGGGATCAAACCCAGGTCTCCTACATTGCAAGTGGAGTCTTTACCAACTGGGCCATTCGGGAAGCCCAAGAATACTGGAGTGGGTAGCCTATCCCTTCTTCAGGGCATCTTCCTGACCCAGGAATCGAACTGGGGTCTTCTGCATTACAAGCAGATTCTTTTACACCTGAGCTACCAGGAAAGCACATTACAAGTATAAGAATTTATATTTGGCTAGTGGCTGCCCTACTGGACAGGGCAATTCTAAATACAGTCCATTTTCAATTTCCTTCTTATCCCTTAAGTCTCTGAAACTGTGATGAGAACAATCTGTCATGTGAACTCCTAAAACTTATTGCCACCACCTCTCTTTATCATCTGGCCTTCCTTGCATTTTTTACCTTTTGATGCATGTCTCACAGCTAACTTGTAAATTCTCAGGCTGGAACCACGAACTAATTGACTTTCCAGGTTGTAAACACCTTTAACAAAACCATTAACTGATTCTTCTCTTGATGCCTGGCTCTCCTGCACCTAGGTCCTAGTAAGTAAACCTTCACAATCTACTTAAGAGTCAAATCCAGTGGTCAAGGCAACTATGTAACCTAAAGCAGACACTTTCTCTGGTGAGTGCTAGAAGGGGATCTTCTCAGGATCTGAAATCTATTTCTCTCAACTATGCATCTCTTGATACCACATGAAACAAATCTATGTCACATGAAGAGTTTTTACATATTTGGAGACAGTCCCAGTAGCTTTTGTTCTTCTATGAGAACCTTCCCAAGTTCAGACAGTACTTCATTTGTCATGCTTTTGAGAACTCGTCATCATTTTCCTCTTCTTTGAAATAGTTCCAGCATCTCTGAGGTCTTCTTGAAGTGTTTGATCTAGAACTGAACGGCAGAACCCCAGAATTAATAGCTGGGCCAGTGAAATGTATAATTGGATCACTACTGGCAGCCTCTATAAAACACGGTTCTGTGAGCCATCAAGGCATATTCCTTACAAGTGTTACGTATGGAAGAGAAAGAAGGGGCCACAACACGTTATTAACTCATACCACCTTTGCATGCTCGGCTTTTGGTCTAGAACTGTACACACGTGTGAAGAGCTGACTCATCTGAAAAGACCCCGATGCTGGGAAAGATTGAGGGCAGGAGGAGAGGGGGACGACAGAGAATGAGATGGTTGGATGGCTTCACCGACTTGATGGACATGGGTTTGGGTGGACTCCGGCAGTTGGTGATGGACAGGCAGGCCTGGCATGCCGCGGTTCATGGGGTCGTAAAGAGTCGGACACGACTGAGCGACTGAACTGAACTGAACTGTACACACATACTTGAGGTTAGTTTTTCTTAACCTCTTCCTGATTTTCAACTGAGCCAGGTAATCTCCACGCATTTTGTTTTGGTGGGGTTCGTCAGACAAAAGGACCAACTAGAAGACATAACTTGGAGAAAACTAAACTGAGAATCAGAAAGCTTAAGGAAGGCGGAACTTGAGAGCAAGGAATCATGCATAAAGTGACCAGCGGCCAGGATTTCTGGCTGTTGATGACAGTAGCAATTACCTTGGTTCTTCGCTCATACTCAGGGCTCCTCTCTCCTTTATTTGTAATAAGCATTACTTCCTCCAGGTCTTCGTCGGACGCGACTGAGCGACTGAACTGAGCCTCCGGGTCTTCGCCTTACAAATGGGTGAGAAGAGGCCGATCCAACTGCAGAGTAAGACGCTCAGGTAATTAGGAGGTGGCAGGAGCAGCGTGGTGACGGCACCCTCCACACCCGGAATCCCAGGATCGCGCGCGCGCGCGCCCGCCTCAGAGCCCGCCCTCGCTGCTGGCCGGGTCCCGATCGGAGCTCCGGGGCAGGAGGCGGGACAGTGGCGCGCGCGCGCGCGGGCGGGGTGGGGCTGAAGGAGCCGACGTGCGACGTTGGCGCCGCTGCGGGCGGGTGACGTGTAGGCCCGCGCCTGCTCCGCCCCCTCCCTGCCCGCCGGGTCTGTGGGTCTGTCCCGCGGCCGAGCCGTCTTAGTGGACCCTGCCCCCGGACTGGGAGGGATCCGGCTAGGCCGGCGTGGAGTGCGGACGAGGGCGCGGCGGAGAAGTTGTCCTCTGGCCTTTTCTGCCTTGCCCTCCGCCCCCCACCCGGCGTGGGAAGTAAAGATCAAACCGAAAGGGAGGGAGACAGGAGCTGGCGGAGTGATGGGAAGCGCTTGAAGCGGGGCCGAGAGGTGAGGAGGGGGAGTGGGAAGAGAAGGGGACCCGGCGGGAGGCGGGGCCGGGGCGCCCCAGGTGCGATGGTCTTTGGGCCCCGGAGGCGAGCCCGGACCTGTCATTCCTCTCTGGGCCTGAGACTTTTCCGTGGTCTCTGATAGTCTCGTCCTGCTCCTGAAATGTGTGGAGTGGGGGTGGGGATCAAAACATGAACACGGCCACATGTTGCCAAGGTGTTAGGCCACAAGGTGATGACCAGATGCGTGCTTTTGCCCCCTGTGCGTGAGTAGTTTGTTTTCATTTTTTCTTTACAAAAATGTAATAACTTTTTCATTTTCTTCACGTGGACTTTGGAGAGAAGTCAATTTCCCAGTATTTTTTACTTTCACACTGAACAGTAAATAAACTGGATAGGGAGTGGACCATGGTGAATTGTGGGTGAATTTAGCAATCGAGGAATCTAGAATGTTATTTTGAAGAAAGTGTGTTGTATGTGCGAGCATGCTGCGATGTCGTGGGTACGTGGGCAGTTTTTTTATTTTAAATAGGCTTCTTATCATACACTAACTTGTTCACTGATTGCATTGTGCTCATCTATTTTGCTCTTCTTTGGTTTAAAAGAAACGTCATTTTAGCGGTAGCTAAAAGTTTAATACGAATGGCATCACATGTGCAGTTCAAACTAGTAATCATATTTTCTTTCTTTCCCTAAGTAAAATTAGACTTGAGTAGCTGTTTTCTCCATCAACCACATTTCATGCTTCATAGACTGAAATCATCAAAATGTTCTTAAAAGTTGATTCAGCTTTTGATTCCAGTCTGGATTGTGCTTGTGTTCATATATCTTTTATTTTAATGGTGGTTATAATAATATTCTTGCATAAGAAAAATATTCCTTAGAGATGCCAGTTAAATGTAAGCTAAACAGTGTTATTAGAGTGAATTGGGGCTTCCCTTTTGGCTAAGAAGGTAAAGCATCTGCCTGCAATGCGGGAGACCTGGGTTCAATCCCTGGGTCGGGAAGATCCCCTGGATAAGGAAATGGCAACCCACTCCAGTACTCTTGCCTGGAAAATTCCATGGATGGAGGAGCCTGGTGGGCTACAGTCCATGGGGTGGCAAAGAGTCAGACACGACTAAGCAACTTCACTTTTTTTCTTTCTTTAATTTCTCATGTCTTATCCTTGTGATTCCCTGCTGTATAGTTTTAGTTTTCTTTAATTCATCATTCACTTAATTATGTCTTTCTATATGCCAGGCATATGCTAGGCCTAGGCAATCAAGAGAGACAGGATGTCTGTACTTAGGAAACTTTCTATAGTCCTTCCTCCTTCTAATAGAGACTTGATTAGGGTTCCTCCTCATGCCACAGATATCTAGTTGACAAAAGCAAGGCTTTCGCAAGAAAAAGTTACTGTCAGTGTTTATATATAAAGTGGCATTGAAAGAGGAGCAGATCATTTTACTTGAACAGCATGGCTTGTTTTGTTTTTGATCAAAAAGATAGTATCCATGCTTGTGTTTTGCTGGTTAAGAGGAATAAGTTTTCTTTTGGACAAGTTGGCTTAATTATAAAATTCAGAATTAGAAGTCAGTTTCTACCTGAAAAATAATACTTAAACATTAAAAATGTTTTTAAAGTAATTTTTCCAGTTTTTACGTTGGTCTGTTGGTCTATGTGTTCAGTTCAGTTCAGTCACTCAGTCGTGTCTGACTCTTTGTGACCCCATGAATCACAGCACGCCAGGCCTTCCTGTCCATCACCAACTCCTGGAGTTTACCCAGACTCATGTCCATCGTGTTGGTGATGCCATCCAACCATCTCATCCTCTGTCGTCCCCTTCTCCTCCTGCCCTCAACCCCTCCCAGTATCAGGGTCTTTTCCAATGAGTCAACTCTTCACATGAGGTGGCCAAAGTATTGGAGTTTCAGCTTCAGCGTCATTCCTTCCAATGAACACCCAGGACTGATCTCCTTTAGGATGGACTGGTTGGATCTCCTTGCAGTCCAAGGGACTCTCAAGAGTCTTCTCCAACACCACAGTTGAAAAGCACCAATTCTTTGGCGCTCAGCTTTCTTCACAGTCCAACTCTCACATCCATACATGACCACTGGAAAAACCATAGCCTTGACTAGATGGACCTTTGTTGGCAATGCAATGTCTCTGCTTTTTAATATGCTATCTAGGTTGGTGATAACTGTCTATGTGTTAATAACTTGTAATTCATTAGAGTAATTCATAGTAGTCCTGTGCTCTGAGCATTTTCATCAGAAATATGTATAATACCTGTTGACTGAAGTACATTTGTTGTCCAGTATACCTTCCGTGGGGAAGCATGGTTACCAGCAGCCCTTTTTGAACAGTCTTGCTGTGTTGTTACTGTTCAGTCACTAAGTTGTTTACCATTCTTTTGTGACCCCATGGACTGCAGCATGCCAGACTTCCTGTCTTGATGTAATGTGGCAGTTTTAAACTTTGAGCAGATGTCTACCTGAAACTGAAATTTTAGCAAACACATTTATGGAAAGAAAAAGTGCTAATCACCAAGGAGGAGAGAATAAAGTGTTTGTGTTTGCTTACTTGTGTTCTACTCTTTGTGACTCCCATGCAGTGTTGTCTGCCAGGCCCCTGTGTCCGTGGAATTTTCTAGGCAAGAATACTGGAGTGGGTTGCCATTTCCTTCTCCAGGGGATCTTCCCTACCCAGGGATTGAACCCGTATCTCCTGCATTGGCAGGCGGATTCTTCACCATTGAGCTACCTGGGAGTATGTGTTTAATAATTATCCAAAGGCAGACTTTTGTGTCTATCTCCTACATTATACTCTATAGTTACTTAGAATAGTTACTTATTTCTTTTGCCTGGTATAATATCTGGCACATGGTTGACAGACCCATGTAAATGTTTGTTCATTCAATATGTACCATCTCATTTGAGTATTTTGTGGTTAGATGAGCAAGTGAATATTTTTGAGTGAGTTTGTCTACTGTTTGTTCATTTTCCTGCTGTGTTGGCTTATAGTAATGTCTTATAGACATATTTATATTTCTGAAACTCTCTGTGTTTCAGAGTTAAGTGCAGTTAAACTTGCGTATTCTGGTTTAATCAGATTATTCAGCCTGAAAGGGGCATAAAAAAATCGTATTGTAACTCTCTTTATTTTATTGATCAGAAAATTGATACCTTGAGAAGTTAGCTGGTTTTCTGCCATCAAACAAATTGGCCTCTGAACTAATTCACCTTTATTTTTATTCTGTTTCTTCCCACTGTATTTTACCTCTAAGAAATTGTTATATGAGTAGAATAATCCTTGGGGACCTTTGTAAATTAGATTCCCATTTTGTCTTTCTGGTGTTGGAGTTTGGGGCTAGTTTTTCTCCACTTCTATGATTTCCTCTTCAAGGAGAATTCATAGGAATTGCATTTGTTATCAGAGGTTTGAACTGACATGGAAAATAAGGTGGGAATTTGGAAAGATACATAATTTAAAAATGTAATATGTAAGAAATTTTCAGGTAGTAATATTCTCAGGATATATTTTAATAAGATAATTGGGAAGAAATATTTATATTTGAAGAAGAAAAAGTTCACAGCTACTTATTTAGTGTTTAAACCAAAGATTGTTAAACAACTAAATCATAATTTTGGGAAGTGGTGTCTGGAAACGTCTATTTTCAAGTGAATTCCCAATGATTCCAGTGCAGCTAATTCATATTGTTGAAGGACTTCATGTTAAAGAATGTGAATTCAAGAGTCTCTTAATTACAGATAATATCTATTAAAACAGAACTTAAAAAGAAGGAAGGTAATTTATCTTAGGATTGTGGATAGTTAGTGAGGCAGTTGATAATGTTTTCCAGCATTTTCAAAGATTTGCTAGGTTAATTTCAAATGAAGTGAGTGACTAGCAAGTTCCTCAGTTGTGTGTAGCTAAGAAACCTGGCATATGAATTTGATAAAGGAAAACTATATTCCATTTCAAGGGAGGAAATTCTTGTTTACTGATGAGACAATTCGAGTTTGAGGAAGAATTCTTGAAAGTGCATAAAATGTTCAACAGGCTAATCAAATGTAACAATATAAAAATGGTAAATTCTACTCTTATTTATAAATACAAATAGATATAGTTTCATCTTGATTCAAGAGATTTAATTATAAAATTCTACATAAATAATTTATAAGAAGAAATTAATGTTAAGGTCAGGTCACAGTTTGCAAAAATGATTTCAGTGCACCTTTCTCCAGGGCACATGCCTTTTCTAAAATGTTCAGTTCGGACGCTCAGTCATGTCCCACTCTTTGTGACTCCATGAACCGCAGCACGCCAGGCCTCCCTGTCCGCCTGCCGTCCTACTCGGGTTTCTCTTACCTTGGATATGAGGTATCTCTTCGCGGCTGCTCCTTACCTTGGACGTGGGGTGGCTCCTGCTTTAAGTAGCACCTCTGTCACCAAGGGGGCCCATTAAACATTCTTTTTGAGCATTCTTTAAGGAGTGAAGGAAGCTTTGCAAAAATATTAGCAATGCTTTTACTCTGGGGACTGGAGTAGTGAGGAATAACCTAACAATCACTTCTGGAAGACTTCACAGTAATACTCTGAGTACACATTGAACAGATATTTATTGAGTTCCTTGGCACAGGCCAAGAACTTTGCCAGGTACCAAAGAGAAGAAGATATACATTACTTATGCCCTCTTGGAGATTATAGTCAAGATGTTGGCTCTGTGAGACTGTTCAGTGTAATTCCTTAAGGCAAGGACAAATATTAATGCATGGCCACTGACTGCTTTCCTGGCCATCTGAAGTTAGAAAAGTAGACTCCTTGTCGCTGATTAAAAAGGTGAAAAAGCTGTTATCCTAAGTCACAGATTTTGGCAATCAGCTCAGAAAGAAAACGGAGTGGGTTTTAGAGAGGTTTAAGGTTGCTTGACCTAACACCAAGCTTTGAGAACTCTTCTGTTTGTATTTATCAGAAGTGGAGCACAGGAAGAACACGGCTGAAATTCTAAATCCAAGGACATTTCACTGCATTTCTTGACAGTGTTTGGCATAGTTGACCATATCGCTTGTTTAAAACTTATCCTTCCCTTATCCTAACCCCAGTCTGGCTGTACTTGACCTTCTGCGGTTCAGAATCTCCTTTATAGACCTTACCCAGCCCCCCGACCCCCTCCTTTTTCTGTAAAGACTTGTGTGTCTCCACCATCTGCTGTCTTGTCTTCTTTAGTCTTCACATAAATCCTTGGGTGATTTTCATCTGTTTCCGTGGTATTCCTTATGATTCTCATGTTTGTATTCAGACCTCTCTCCTGAACTTCACACCTGAATATTCAGTCCCTGCTGACCATTTTTACTTGAATGTCATATGGGCATCTTAGACTCACCCTGTTTGAGATTGAACTCATGATATTCTGATCTAGTTTTGTGAATTATGTCATCACCTGATCTATTAATGTGGAAGTCAGCTGTGGTCCTTGCCTCCTTCCCCACCACAGATAAAAATAATCAGACTAAGCCAAATAGATTTGATTGGATTCCTCTACTTTCCTCTAATTCATTACCACTACAGTTGGTGGCTCAGAGGTTGAAGCATCTGCCTGCAATGCAGGAGACCTGGGTTCGATCCCTGGCATTGGGAAGATCCCCTGGAGAAGGAAATGGCTACCCACTCCAGTATTCTTTTTTTTTTTTTTTTTCCACTCCAGTATTCTTGCCTGGTGAGCCCCATGGACAGAGGAGCCTGGTGGGCTACAGTCCACGGGATCGCAAAGAGTTGGACACAACTGAGCGACTGCACTTTCACTTTCACAGTTCCGGAACTCTCATCTCTTCTGGATTACTCTGACAGCCTCATAGTGTCTTTCTGCTTCAGGTCTTGCCTTCCTGTGGTCCGTTTTCTCCTCCCCAGTCGTAGTGTGTGTGTGCGTGCTTAGGGGCTTCAGTCGTGTCCAACTCTCTGCAACCCTGTGGACCATGGCCTGCCAGGCTCCTTTGTCCATGGGATTCTCCAGGCAAGTAATCCTTATTAAACACAGTTCAAGTCAGTAACTCTTCCGGAGAGTTCTTTTACTATTAAGAGAGTTTCCAAACAACATGCCTTACAAGGCCCTGATGACCTCATTCCCACCTGTCTCTCCAGCCCCATCTCCTGCCACATTACATACTCCTTGACCACTATGCTTCAGTCATCTATTTAGTTCTTTGAATGTGGAATGTTCTCACTTTGCATCAGGAGTATGTGTACCCGACTGACCCCTCATCCCTGTTGTTTCAAGGAAGGAAGGTACTTTTTCTTCCCAGTTTCCTTTCGTGCTAGGCTGGATGCACCTTCTTTGTGTTCCAAAAACACTCATTACTGCCCTCTTTGAGAGCCAGCAGTCTTACTCTGTATTGCGATAGCTTATCTGGTTGGATTGTCTTCTGCCCCAGACTGTGAGATTACCCTCTGGAAGTTTACTTTTTCACCCTCGGGAACCTGCTGTTTCTCAGGTCATTGCAGCTGCCCTTACAGATGGTCAGTTAAGGTGTGTCACCACTACAGACTTGTCTAATCTTTTTCTTTGTGTTCATCCTTCTCATTTAAACTTTTAAATAGTTGATACCTCTTTTAAAAATCTGGAGACCTCTTATTAATTTTTACTCTTAAGAAGATTCAGCATTTACCAGAAGAGTTAGGGGAGACAGATATTTGAATATTTAGAGTAGTATTTCCAAATACAGGGTGCAGAGTTAAATTTGGATTTCAGGTAAGCAACAGCTATTTTTTTTTCTTTTTCTTTTTTTTTAGTATAACTATATGCCATTTACGTATGTCTCAAATATTGCATAGGCCATATTATACTGAAAGAATGATTTGTTAAACAACCTGAAATTCATATTTAACCGTGCATTTTATATTTTTATTTGGCAACTGTAACTTCCAAAAAATTTTGTGTGATTCTTAGTCTGAGAGCATAGACACAAAGGTAAATTGGGTCTCTTGAAAATGTAATCCTGATTTTAATCATACATTAACTTCAATGATCAAGAAGAGAGAGGTGTCTCAAGAAACTGATGCTGTTAAAAAAAGAAAGAAACTGATGCTGTGCCTGAATATTTTTTAAAATATAAGTTGAACAATGGAGAAAGAGTGCACAAACTAAGAATGAATTAAAGAAAAGTGAATTTGTAGAACCTGTGATGTGTATCGTTAAAGAAACAATGACATTAGTGAAAACAGTTTTTAAGCTACATTCAGCAGTGTTTCTTGGGGCAATTACTAGGATGTTAAAAGAGAAAATAGATTTAATTAACTGCTAAATTCTCTTCCTTCTTTTATGCTAAGGAGAATGGAGAATGGACTCTCTTTGGATTGGAAATGGCAGAATTGATTTGGTTAAATGGAATTGAAGTACATTATGGGTGGCAATATTAAAAGAGCACCCAGGTATTCAATGTTAAGTCTTATAAGCCAAAGCATTTTCAGTAATGTTTTCAGAACCTGTGATTTGCTTGACATTCAGTTTGATGCTTTCACAACTCTTCTGTCTCTTATTAGGCTTCTGTGTTTATTTAAAACTTGATTAGGGAGGGAGGTTCAAGTGGGATATACATATACCAATGGCTGATTCATGTGGATGTATGGCAGAAACCAACAGAATATTGTAAAACAATTATCCTTCAGTTAAAAATAGAGAAACTTAACTAAAACTTTAATTTTGATGTATTTCCAGAATATGGGAAATGTTCAGAAAATAATGTAACACACATTGCCATGCAGATTTAACAAGGAGTCATTTTTGCCTTAGTTGCTTCAATTCTTCTCCTGAAAAGTGTTGCTGATTTTCTTTTCTTCTGTCACTTCTCTGCTGCCTCTCAGTCTGTTACCTTGAAGCTGGTGTATAAAGTTCTCATGCGTGTTTCTACGTACTTCTGTGTGACAGGATATAAGCCAAGGCTTAATGAGGGGTATTGGTGGGAAGAAATGGTACTGATTACCTTGGTAAAGAAAACATTTAAAGTGAGATGACAGGTTTATATCTAGAAGTCACTTATGTGAAAAGAGTACTTAACTTTGAAAACTCACTGACATTAGACAGTACAGATAATTTTTTTGAAAGTACTTTTAAGATCAGAAATCAACATCTAGTACTTAGTGACCCAGATACTTTGTGATTTATACTTATGTGGAGAGTTTTATAAACCACTGAAAAACATTGATGTTCAGCCTCTACAGATGTCATTTTTATTAAACAATCAATAACTATCATGATTTTCCTGGTATCTTTACTGTAAAGATGGTTAACTAGCAATCTTTAGAGAATTGACTCTCATTATTTAACATTTCGTAAACGGCACATCCCATAATATTTAAGACATCAGAGAAAGTGAATTTTAAAAATATGTTACTTTTGTTTTGATGTTTTTTGAAGCATGTTTCCTTTAGTAATTATGTTCTAAAAAAGATTAGAGATGTCATTGTCAAAACTTATTTTTTTCTCTGAAATGTAGTATATATAATTTGTTGGTAAGAAAAATGACTTAGCAAGTTAAAATATAAGAAAGAAGGAGAAATACGGGTCTGATCCTTTCAGACATCTTTCAGTTTAGGAAGCTGTGAGTAACAGAGTATGGAGTGAGAGTTCACCTCAGAAGAGGGTACACAGAAAGTATTCTTATTAACTGTATTTGTCAGGGTACATTTTTGACTAATACAGAGTGAAAGAGAGTACCCTCTTTTAGTAATTAAGTTTTTAATTTAATAAGATTGAAACAAACAGTTCAGACCAGAATGTTAAGTAACTATCCTGGCAATACATTCTTTCAGAAAGACTAAGTAAAGCACGCATTACATTAAATAACATGTAACTACGATAAAATTCTTACTATGTATTCTAATTTGTAATGCCCAATGAGTTAGTAATTTCCTTTTCTGTTTTTATATTTCTTGTTTTCAACTAAATTCACCTCAGTCCTGTTGTTAATGCCTACTTTTTCTCTACTTTAGAGAGAGGGGTAGAGATTTCATCTGCTATCTTGAGGTACGTGCCAGCTTCTTTTACGTGGTGTCGAGTTAGGGCTATTCAAGAATTTCTTCTACACAAAATAGTAAATAAAGATCAAAGCCATTATACTCTTTGATAATTTTTTTTTTTTTTAAGGAATTGGAGTGTACAATCCTAATTATTTGCATGTAAAAACTATCAGATTTCTAAAAGATCACTGGACCTCATATTTGGGAATGTGGTGGTGTTCCATATAACTGTGGTATAGAGGAACAAGTGTACAAGGTCAGGAAAATGCTTTCTCTAAATAGCTAAAGCTGACTCCAGAGCATCACTTGAGTTTTGGATTTGGTGTATTAGGGTACCTTATGGAGGTTTCAGTTAAATTAATCTTCTCAGGGCTCATTAGGGGACAGAAACAGAGTCCCTGAGTCAGTCTATCCAAAGGCTCATAGATTGGGGTGGAATGAGAATTTTGCCTTTTTCAGCTAATTTGGGCGCAACCTTTTCCTCTGGAATGAAAGGAAAATATGTACTGCCTTGTATGTAGTGGGTCTGCTCCCCGCCTTCTCTGCAATATGTGTGCTGGTTTGTTCCTTGTGCAGTGTTCTTCCTGGCTATTCTTCTTCTCATCTGTGCTGATATGTTACTCTTGCCATTTATTGTCCCTGGAGTATTTAAAAGAAAGGCTTTTCTTATCCTTTGTTAAAATTAAAATTAATATAACCTTGGAGGTCTTTTGTAGACTCTTAGGTTAATAGTTATAAACCTGTCTAGGTTGTCTCCCCTATCTGTGGTTGGTAAACCTGGAGTTAATGTTGGAGGGAAAAGTTAGAGAACAAGAATCTTATACATGTACATTTTATTCTTAACAAGCCATTATAGATTTTGATTCATATGAAAGATGTATATGTTGTGATTGTTTGTTGTTCAGTCGCTAAGTTGTGTCCGACTCTTTGTGACCCCATGAACTGCAGGACATCAGGCTTCCCTGTTCTTCACTATCTCCCAGAGTTTGCTCAGACTCATGTCCATTGAGTCAGTGATGCCATCCAACCATCTCATCCTCTGTTGCCCGCTTTTCTTCCTGTCCTTAGTATTTCCTAGCATCAGGGTCTCTTCCAGTGAGTTGACTGCATCAGGTGGCCAGAGTGTTGGAGCTTCAGCATCAGTCCTTCCAGTGAATATTCAGATTTGATTTTCTGTAAGACTGACTGGTTTGATCTCTTTGCTATTGAAGGGACTCTCAAGAGTCTTCTCCAACACTGCAGTTCAAAAGCATCAACTCTTCGGCACTTACCTTT